ATTTTAATGCAATTTAAGCTGTTTTTTTTGTAGAACTTTCTACTTAAAAGACCTATCGGTTGAACTCATAATTCTTTGAAAATTACCTTTGATATCTTGCATGTTGTTCTTTTATAGAATGCCGTGTCGAAAGGCGAATGTCCGGTATCTCCTGAAGATAGCAGTTACCATCATATCGTTCCAAATAATGAATTAATGGATTTGATTCCGAAGGAAACCGAATCTGGACAGGAACAAATACAAAAACTAAATAATTATGTAAACAAACCACATATTAGTAAAGTTATTATTGAGAATGATCTCAGCAGTAAACGAAAGAGTCACGGCAAAGTAATTCTCGCATCAATCGCCAATAATCCACATAACTACGTTTATGGCCCACGACCAGACTATCGAGGAAAAGATCCAGAAGGATTGAGAGATGATGAATTACTCGATGCACAATCACCTGAATATCAGAATGATGTTAATACGTATGAGGCAAATAAAAGTCTCGATACATTCGGTGATATGCGAGCCACTCAGCCCGTAAATTGGGAAGCGAAGCGAGAACCAGGCGACCAGGACGATAAGTACTTTGTTAAAAAACCATAGAATCAAAACAATGGGGATATGACTTGAATAACAACAACAACATCAATCGATTCCTACGTCCAAATTCATTTGTATTCATCTGAATTTTGTATTATCAAATTCTATGGATGCAAACACTTGTGTGCTACCTATTTATCAATCCGCCTTTCCTTCTTTTTGCTTATTTTTTTGGAATTTTTCTTTCATTATTTTGATATTAAATTGTGAAAGTTGAATTATATTTTTTTTCAATTAAGTTGGTATCATTTGATATTTCTACGCTCTGTGAATCTCTTGAAATAAGAGTGAGGAGTGTTGAGTCTGTTGATCAAGTCGATTTCGAAGTTATGCATTGACATGAAAGTAAGTGCTTGTAGAATCTTTTTCACAATTGTGTGTGTGTTTTTTATTTCTATAGAAAAAGAAACGAAAAATACAAGATCTGGTTTTTGATCACCAAATAAGAATTTCATTTCAATCAGAATTTGCACGAGATCGAACTAGTGTTCGAAGAGATGAAGTCAATGAACGAGAAGAAATAACAATGCAAGCAGCATCACCTGCATGAGTTGGAAGAGCAATCGGTAGACGTAAAGATGCAGATTCGACATTTATTTCAGAAAGTGAATGCAGTTCTTCATTTGATATTGTTCGTATAATCAAAACAAAATTATTGAATTGAATGCACATCATAGACAAAACTACTTCCAGATTTGGAATAAATATCTGATTAAGATGAGTTCTCATAATGAAATCAATTATTTCGATCAAAACAAATAGGTTTTTTTATTAGATAGAAGTTTTGAAAATCTGAACTGAATGAAAAGAGTTTTAGTTAAAATACGAAAGAAAATAGTAGATAATAGTTTCCACGTTTGGCACTAGCAAACATATTATTTTCATAAGCATGTAGTATATGAAAATCTTTAAGAATAAAACATTTTTCAAAAATCGTAACATCATCTTGTGGTTTGTTCTGATCATCTTCATTTTCGCCGAATAATTTACACATTTGATTATAAAATAATTCTTCTTCGATTGATTTCATTAAACGTTCGTCGTTTAAATCCAAAGGTAAAACTTGACGATTTAAATCTTCTTCGATTGCATGTTGATTTTTTAAATACCAATCCATATTGCATGAAAAATCGACGCGAAATAATTTAATAGCTTTTTCAATCGAAATTCTATCAACTTTTATACATCGTTTCGAAGCAATTCGTTGATTTTTTTCAACAAACAAATCATCTAATTTTTCTCGATCTTCGAAATGTTTCATATTTATCATTCCAATATTGAATTGCCAATCACCATAACTACTTGCTTTTAGTTTATATGTTAAAACTTTATGTTTTGGCCAATCTTTGTGTTCTAATGATTCCATTTCGTTTGGATAAGCTCCATTCTTATTTATATATATACCCGTAATATCCATTTCCAATATACGTGGGATATAATCTAACGAATAAATTCCACATTCAAATTTTTCTTTCATTGACATCGTATTCTTCGAATCTGTTGTTACCATCTTCAAACTTTGTTTTATTATACTATTAAAGTTCTGTTTCGAGAATAATAATTTTCTAACGATAATCATCAAAAAAAAGAATAAAAAAAAATTTCAATATGAATGTCAGAGCGATGAATTTTCTTCTAAAACATCAAGTGATTTTTTTTATCGAATAAAATCATTGTAGTCATTACGAAACTTTTATTTTCGATTATACATTATAGAGAATAAATCGAGGTCGACACGGAACTATGTAATGCGCAGATTTAAAAATACGCATATTGTGTGTACTTACGGCTGATGTTGTAAGAAGAGAACGAGAGGAATACTTATGAATACGCAAAGAAAGAAAGAAAAAGCCTTTTTACTACGCAATTTTGGCTTGAGGAGATGTGCGAAAAAAGAATATTTTGTCTGCGGCGTACATGTCAATATTGAGAGAAGATAACGAGAGATACGAACATAATTTTATCTTGTCTATCGAAATGTAGGCTATAAATCGACTATCGTATATATGTTGTAGTGGAAATCAAAATCTAGGGCAATTTAAAATTCCCCTAGGGGAAATCAAAATTTTGAGTTGCACTAGGAGAAATCGAAATTTCGAGTTCTCTTGAAAGAATGCTAGTAGAAATCAAAATTTTGACTTCCCCTAGTGCAAATCAAAATTTTGAGTTCCTCTATAGGGCAATTTTAAATTCCCCTAAGGAGTGTTTGATTGATATTTAACATACTGATATTGATATTTTATTTAATTTATAAATATTAATAACTTAACTTCTGTTTTATTAATATTATACATTCAAGCATGGACATTCTCTGATAACAACAGTAAATATTGATTGAGTGCGTAAGAATGTGAGAATTCGGGGATAGTAATAAAAAAAGGAGATACAAACTCTTCTTTTATGACTTATTGACACAGGAAGATACGAATAATTTTGCGTTAAAGTAGATTACGGTTGCTCTTTAATGTAACTATAGGAAATTACGAAAGTAGTTCTAGTGATATATTTACAATTCACGGCGGGCGTGAAGTAAGTAAGCTATTCTACTAAACATCAAAATCGAGAAAATCACACAAACATAATCATCTTCGGATAGTGATGCAAACATCAGACAAAACTCTTCGCTAAACCCACAACCCATTTTCATTTGTATTTTTTGCAATA